AGGACTAGGAAAGAGATGCATGGCGTGTGAGCGTCCCAACGCAGCTGGCAAATGTTTGCGTTTCGCTCATACAAACTCACATTAATGGAGCGACGGGCTTGTTGCTCTCCGCCATGAAGCGTTGGATCAGTGCGCCCACGCCTTCAAAGCATCCGAGCAGGATACCGCACATGATACCTGATCCCACAGCTGTCTTGGGTCCAGCTGAGAGCAGCAGGAAGAGCAAGGCGAAGCGAATGAGCGCGCATGCATCCGCGCAACCTTGAGCATCACCACTCACCTCGAATGGCCAGACTGCCACCAGTCATGAATCCAGCGATGATGGCGTTCCAAGCGTCTTCCTTTTGTCTGATACCCTTGACCGTGCAATCGTAGGTGCTAAACATTCCGCCCCAGACTCCAAAGTTGCCTCCGAGCACCGGAGCCCTCGCCTTGATCGCTGCCATTGCGCCCGGCAGCCTGTAGCCCTGTCGAGCGGAAAGAAAGACGAGGGCAAAAGCGGCGCTCAGCTTCGAAGCTGCGTGATGCTGTGAAAGGTTGCCGCAGTACTTGCTTGAACAGCCACGTGAAGGGCTATGGAGCAGCTCTGGCCTGAAAATATCAAGCACAGCGTCCCGCGGAAAAAGGAGTGTTCCTCTGCGTTGTTGCCTCCTTCTCCTCCTCCTCTTTCGCCTCGCTCACCCGACATTGCGACCACTCACCCTAGGAGAGTTTCTGCTGCCCTTGATGCCGTGCCAGATCGTACCACCCACAGCACCCATTGCAAAAGCACCGCCGAAATCGTTCAAGATAACATAGGGACAAGGATCCCGAGTGTGATCTTGGTGCGCCATGCTGTCTAGGTCTATGCGAAGGTCGCTGCTTCACTTCGAGGTGCAAGTTGGAGGGGGGTTCAAGGAGGGCAACCTCTTCCTGAAGGCCAGCAGTGCCGTTCGGTTTTTGGTGCTCAACAAGGCGGGTGGAGTGATGAAGCAGAGCTTTAGTCAAAGGTGCCTTTGTTGGCGCAGGAATTCAAAAGATGATGAGTGCGATTGATGGGCCCGTCAGTGGTCGAACGTCTTAGCTCAAGGCGAAGTAGACGAAGCTGGGACCAAAGCTCCAAAGGCTACCTTGATGTTGATGACTTTAGCTGGCTCTACGCTGCAGTGACTAGTGACGAGCAAGAAGTGCAAGGATGGGTGGCAAGCCTGATGATGGAGGCGTGAGATGAGAGTCAACTGCGATCGATGACTGCCAATTCGTCGCAAACGGTGCAAAATGCAGGCAGCTTGCCAGGTCTTCTCGAATTCACATACATTCACCATTACTCCCTCCAACGTCAGCCTCATGCGTCACGAGTCGTGAGCACGTCGAGT